CTTCTGTCTCCGATACTGTTTCTTGCAAATAGTGCACACGACACGGGAAGGCAGCAGGTCAGGGCTGAAGCCACAGCGGAACCAGGCTGAGTTCTGGGGTCCTGGCTTCAGCCTGACCCCGACATGGCTGCCGGGGGTGTTTCAGGAGTGAACATGATGCAGATAATGAAAGTAAACTTCTAACCCAGGTTCTTTTCTCCCAGAGATAAACACACTAAACAGAAACTAATACAGCAATGGAATTTACTTAGCAGTGAGGTAATAAACATATATCCACACATGAGTGTAGGCCACCGCTCACAAAGAAATACTCAAAATAAGAGAAAAACCTAAAAAACAGTACCTCTGAGTGACAGTGGAAGAAGTCGCTCCGAGAAGGTCCGTGGACGGCAGCAAAGGAGGGCAGTTCCTCTAAGGAGGCTCCGTGGTAGACAAACCCTTCTCTGCCACAGGCTACCTCTTCTTATAAGGAACGGGGCAGGTCCTCCCGCCCTCCTGCGGCGCGCACACAAACAGGGTGGAGCCTGAGCATGCTCCCTGGACCTGCGCGAGGCAGGTGCATCCTGGGAAAGTGGCGTACCAAATCGACAGTAAAAGAGATAGCAGCGTGGTGGTGTGGCAAGCTAATCTCCACCCGTGGTGCTGGCACCCGACATAAAAGCCACTTCAGGTCCCAGGTGTGCCACTTTCAATCCAGCTCCCTGCATATGACCCGGGAGAGCAGCAGAGAGAGGATGGCCCAAAGCCTTGGGACCTTACACCTACGTGAAAGACCTGGAAGAAGCTCCTAGCTTCGCTGCAACTCAATTATGGCCGTTGTGGCCAGCTGGGGACTGAATCAGTGCATGGAAGATCTTTTCTTTCCTCTCTGGGAATCTGCCCCATTCAAATTAAAAAAAAAAAAAAAAAAAGAGGATCTTGAGAGTGACAGAGATAGCACCACTTTCAGGGATTAAGAGTGCCAGGTCACCTAAACTACCCGGCCAGACACACCGTATCAAACCAGTAGATGGAAAATTCATCTGTCACTCTGCCTTCTGCGTAGATGAAAACAGGCATGTGAAAAACAAAACAGGAGCTTATTCTTCCTCCTAAACAAGATTTATTATGTCTTGGATAATTCACAGGGGAGGGCAATAAAATCAAGGTGAAGGGTTTACAATCGCTAATTAAAGGTAAATCAAAACAGATCTCTAAAACCCACCACCTAAGCTAATGCGCGAGCTTTACCAGCTGCTGAGAAACCCAAGTCTTGTGACCCCCAGCGTGGGGTCAGTTCATCCTCCATAAACCCCAATGTATTGTGTTTCAAAAATGGCTGACAAGTGTACTTCTGGCTCAGTCTACTTACAGCTCTCTGTATAAAGAGATTCAGACTTAAATTCTAGCCCTGGCTTTGTCACTGGTAAGCTGCTCTTCCTGTAAAAACTGGATGTCCTGTTTGCAACCTGCTCAACTCCGGTCAAGAGTCGGGCAGTGCTTAAATGGATGGCCAATACCTGCTAAAGTACAGGGCAGGCATGTGGCACAGCAGTTAAGACACTGCCTGGGATAGCAACATTCCATGTCGGAGAGCCCGGGTTTGAGTCCCGGCTCAGCTTATTGTTAGCGCATACCCTGATGTGTAGCTGGGTTTCTGGCATCCACGTGACAGATCGGGACTAAGCTGCAGGATCCTGGCTTCAGCCTGGCCCAGTCCTGGTTGTTGGAGGCACTTGGGGGCTGGTGGGGAAATCAATCTGTGAATGGAAAAATCTTGGTCGGTCTTTCAAAAAAAGAAAAACAAACAGATTTAAATACTGGAATGAATGCTCCTGAGCGCCTTCCCCGGCTGCTCACAACACTCATGTTCGCACAGGGAGCAGTAGTCACTCACCTGCCAAGCTCCACAGCTGGATCACTGCTCGGACACCACACCGTGACTCAAGCCTAGAGGATGCTCTGCACATTCATATTCTACTCCTGGGTGATGGAAAAAGCGGTGGCAGATTTCCTATTCATTTCTGTGTAAGTTGTATTCCCAGTTCTGAAGGTCTGACCTCATAAATTTATAGTGAACATTAGCAACTCATTTTCCTGAATCACAACTGAAATGAAAATTCCTCCAGCTTCAGTCTTCTCACATAATCTGGCTCAGAAGCGAGTCACTGACGCCAGATGACTTCAAAGGCCTGGTCTCTGCTGAGTCCCGTATTTGATCTACTTCTTCCACCTCTTCCATGTGAACACACACGGTAATTCCTCTGTAGTTAAACCCATAGCCCAAGAGCAACTGATGCTCTAATTCAGGCATTTTAATAACTGCATAGCATATTCGTAGTCCTAAGGGGAGGGGTTATGAGCAAGGAATCTATTCCAGTGACAATCTTCAGAGACTCTGACTTATCAGAAAATCATTTTCTGCTTCTCTAAAGGCCAGTAAGTAAATTATAATATAAAATGCTTGTTGAATAATAGACAGCCATGCTTGCTGACTTAAACACCCCAGGGACTTGCTTATTCACTTCACATAATTTAGTAGCAAACCTCTTTTATTCAAATAAAGTTTTACTTTCCACTAATAATGCTTCACAGCACAATGCCAAACTAAACAGGGAAAATATAAAAAATCCTGATGACACACTACATCTGACTTTGATAGCCCTGTGACATCCCCACGGGGGGGGTGGATACAGAGTGTGCTGTGACCATTTGGACACATAGGACGTTCAGTCAGTAACTATTTATTAAGGTTCTAACTGCATGTCAGCCTCCATTAGACTCTGGCATAAAAGGCATCTGGCTTTCAAGGGGCTTGCCATCTAGTGGGAGAATCTAAGAAGCAAACACACAAAGCCACTACAGAGAAACGGCGCTACTACAAGACGGCAGCTTTTCAGTGTTGTCTCAAATACTCATATATAGAAAACATGCGGAGTTGGAGGGAAAGAAGCTGAGGGGGCAGGAGGGCAGTAGTGAGACAGAGCAAGTCTACACAGAGCCACAGAAGAGCACAAGGTAGGTGCAGGTTTTAGTACCAAGAGGTTCACACTTGATCCAAGGCTACAAAGAGTGAAGCAGAGGAGCAGCAGGGACATGGAGCGAGAATCAGACCAAGGCAAGTTCCCTGAGCACTTCGCTGCTGCAGTGAGGGAAATACTCCATAGGCATCACTGTATCACATCCACAAAACCCCGAGGAGGAAGCGGAGCTCGCTGTGCAGGGAACTCCTGAGAGCTCGCTGTTTTCTCACGATCTATTGTCCTCTTCCCTGCCAACAAGTGAAACCATTAACTCATCGCTTTGTCTGTTCTTCAAAATAATGACTGGTACTTGTTCATGGCAAACAGGGTAGATGGGTAGTTAGACAAACTCACACAGGAATCTCTCCAAGCCCACACCCACTGTGCTCACTGCACTTACCACACTAAACTGCTACTTTTCGCTTCTGCTGGTCCTTCTTGTTACTAACTTCTGGATTGCCCTGGACTCATTCCTGGGGCCCCCTGCCTTTCTGTCTACACTCACTTCTTCATTGACTCATCTAGTCATGTGAGATCAAGCACCAACAATTCATTGGTGGCACTCAGGTTTCTATTTTCAGCATGGACTTTTCCCATGGCCTCCAAACCCTTTTACCCAACCATCCACTCAACATCTCCATTTGGATTCCTAATGGGCATCTCAAATTATGCCATCTGAAAAATCTACTCCTTTCATGGCAGTTTTCATCACAAGTTGCTGGTAACTATTCTTCCAGCTGTTCAACCCAAAACCTGGACATCAGTCTTATCTCTCTCACAAGCTTTATCACATCCAAAGGCAAGATTAACGTCTATCATCAACACATCCAGAATCCAACTTGTCACAACTCTGCCCACCTTCATTTTGCCCAGATTGTTGCAAAAGCTTTTCATGCTCCCCTCCAATTGATTCTCAGTGTCACAGTGACTTAGATACAGCCCGTGTGAACTGCTTAGCACCTGAGTCCACTTCTCAAACTCCTACCCGGCTCCCTCATCCCAGCATCAAAGCCAAAGTCCTTCCAGGGGCCTAGAAGACAGCCCCTACTGAGGTCTCTATTGTCTCTCACCTATTATCTTTCCCTTCCTCACTCTTGCCCAGCAGCACCAGCCCCTCCCATCCTAAAGTCTACGTGCTCGCCGTACGCCTACGTGCTCACTGTACGTCTACGTGCTCACGGTACGTCTACGTGCTCACCGTACACTTGCAGGGAAACAAACTCCAGAGACCATGCCATCCAAAGCTGTGACCTTCCCTCTATCTACACTGCCTAACGCACTACAGTTCTTACTGTTCCGGTGCACAGGTCTTTGCTCAGCCCTGTATCCACAGAACCTATGGTAACGCCAGTAACATGAGGGACCTCAGTAAGTATTTACTGAATGAATAAACGCATTCTCAGTTTTACAGAACCTTCTCCATGCCTGTCTCAGCAACCGGGCACCACACAGGGGCAACACTCAGACTTTTTTTTTTTAAGATTTATTTTTTTTTTATTGGAAAGTCAAATTTACAGAGAGAAGGAGAGACAGAAAGATCTTCGGTCTGCAGGTTCACTCCCCAGATGGCCACAACAGCCAGAGCTGAGCCGATCCAAAGCCGGGAACCAGGAGCTTCTTTCAGGTCTCCCACGTGGGTGCAGGGTCCCAAGGTTTTGGCCCGTCCTCCACTGCTTTCCCAACCACAAGCGGGGAGCTGGATGGGAAGTGGAGCAGCCTGGACACAAACTGGCACTCATGTGGGATCCCGGCACATGCAAGGTGAGGACTTTACCCACTAGGCTACTGTGCCAGACCCAACACTCAGACATTTTTCAAAGAATTCAATTAACAGATAGCTGATACAGTACAGATAAAGAGTTATCATTTTTCCACCTTCTAATGAATAATTAACAACCAGAGTCTGAAACAATCCAAAAACTATTTTTCAAAAACTTTACAAATTTTATTTTTATAAAAATTTGGTCAATTCATGTTTTAAAATGTATATGAAGGCAAAAACAAGTCTATACATAGAATATAAAACTTTTTTCAAAACATACAAGACACATACATGTAAAAAAAATCTAATGTAATTTCTCTTAAGAAAAAGTAAACTAAAGAAAATGCCACAAAACAACAATTCTCTTCTGACTGAGCCCATAAGCGATCATGAAACCTGCAGCTCCATCATATGAAGCACCTCTTCTTTCTTTTTTACCTTCTTTTTCTGCTCATCGTTCTTTTGAAGACATGGGCCAATCAATCAAGGCTTTTTAAAAGCTGACACATGTTAAACTTTGACCAACATGTGGCTTTTAATTCTGAAAGTCACTATTTTATACTTTCAGCTACAGACGAGTCCCTAAGCACTGTATACACATTAAGATATAATCTGGGTAGACTACACAGAATCTAACTACTTAGAAAAATTTTCAAAAATTAAGATTTGCATTGATCACATTTTATTCGGCCACAGTTAAGTTCCTCTGCTTACTACTTAAAAAACCCTTAATAATGTAAACGGTTTTATTCACTGTATTTATGGTTCCCTCAAATGCTACAACAGGATTATCTAATCTAAAATACATTAGGTAAACAAAAAAAAAACAAACAAAAAACCCTGATCTCCAGCTTGGTGGCTGACTGCTCATCTGTTAACAGGCCCCACGGACAGAAAGAGGCTCACTGCTTATGCACCAATATCACCGACCCTCATTTAGGAATCCTCACTGCGGGAACATGAATCTTTCTTATGAAAGTCACATCATTGCCACTGTCCTTACTTTATCTCCATCGCCCGTAAAATACATTTCAGGTGAACTGTCTAGATTTCAGTTTCACTTAAAGTTTCTAATCAGGAGGTCAAAAACAGCTCATTTTTGATGTTGACAAGTTGGGGGGGTCCTGTTTTTGTTTTGTTTTTTTAGTGTCAAAAAGTGTCTTTCCTGATTAACCTTGGAAGGAATAGGGGGAGAAAAATAGAAAAAAGTCAAGGAAGACACAGAGAGAGAAGGGAAACCAGCCAGTTGAAGGTCAAGGGCAGCACCCTCCAGTCACAGCGACCCTGGAGCTAAACCAAAAAACCAGAGAATTCCCAGAGATTCACTGAGAACAGCAATGACAATGCCATTCATCTGAAAGGAAGTAGGATTACAAGAAAAGTATCTTACTATTTCATATTTTTATAAAAATGCCATTACAACTTACGGCTACAACTGGCTCTCCCCATACGAGCCACAAAATTTTCATTTACTAACATTTAATTATGGAGCAACTGCTTTAAAAAAAAAAAAAAGTGAGGGTTAGGACAGTCAAGTCTCTCAGGTAAGAAATCCAGTAGATAGAACAGAGAGCAGGACGGGCTCCAGGTCAGAGACTGGCAGCAAGAGCCCGCTGAGGGCATGGGCCTGCCATCAGCCAGTGAGACCCACTCTAACACTTGATTTCTGCTCCACAGAAAGACCTACTAAAATCTAAGACTCATTTACTGAGTCGATTAGAGGAAATGTTGCAGACTGTGCACACAGATACAGTATTCTTAAAACAAGTAGCTTAGGGAGTGCAAATAAACTCCCAAGATTGTATCGGGAGTAGAGCCCACATACGTGAGGTCTGAGCTCCGACAGCACGTCACCGTGGCCCTGAGGCACAGCCTGCTTTATAACACTGTTAGAATACAGACTGCACTCCGATGATTTCATAAATTATATCAACCAATTTGAGTGCATTAAGACTTTTACCAATAGTACATAACAAGGTATGTATTTACATTTTCATTTGCATCTCTAGGACAAAACTGAATGATAATGATCATGAAAAACAAGATTAAAGGTGTCCATCTGGGAAAATGTGTATTAATATCATTCATACAACAAACATTTTTGTAATAAATGCAACACTGCAAAACAATTCACAGATCTGTAAAAAGCTGATTAAAGCTTCACTACAATTTTTTCTAATTCAAAAATTAAAGAGTTCAACTTACATTAATGCTTACCTATTTTACTCTAAAACCTGTAAAACGTATAAAATACCAAGATTATCAACAGTCACATATGTTTTGAAGTCAGGAGACACGTGTATCTTCTTAAGATTGGTTCCATTTGTATAGAAGGTCTGTAAGGATTCCCCAGTGACAACATTCCACCACTGTGGAGAGAAAAACAGCATTCTCATCAGATGGTAATTGCAGTGCAGGACCATTTGTAATACAAGCAAGATCCTCTGCTCTGTCACCGTCCCTCTCCCAAACTAAGCAAAGAGCAGGAAAGAAAGATTGAGGATTAATGCCAAACATGATCAACCTGATCAGCCTTTCCCAGTCCACTTTGCAGATTGCCTTGCAGTTACATCAACACCTCACAGCAAAGCGTGAAGAAACGTGCAGGCTGCCCGAGAGCAGCAGACACAGAGCTGTCCGTCAGGGCAGGGACAGAACACATGCCTTTCCCTGGGGAAGGGACTGAAGATTGCCCTGCCAGCCCCTGCACGCAATACCCCATTTCAAACAAAGACTGGTATTCTGACAGACTATTCGTTATATGAACTGTGGGATACGAAGTTCCAGCTACCAAATACTACCTTTCATCAGGAGTGATCCGAGACCCTGTGACCAAATTTCTTTATCAAATAGTCTGTATATTTACCTACTAAGTAAACACTGAACAACTCAGTGTAGCAAGTGCACTGGCAAGTTTTCATTTCTCTTCCATTCATAGAGTTCACTACAATTTTAACAGCGTTTGTATTCTTAGAACAACTGGAGACTGTGAAGTCTTTCTGTGTCTCACCCAGCGAGCACCAGAGACAATGTACCTGAATACGTTCTGAAAACAACTCGGGACACCAAGATTCTGAGCATGCTCAGCCCGGTTACAGAGCCTCTCACCTTTGCGTCCATGGCAGTGCCCAAACTGCTGCCTTGCTCGCACAGCGTGCTTGTCGACTCATGTTCCCTGTTAATAACAGCAACTGGCAAAGCATCGCCTGATTTCAGTAAACCAACATTAACCTGAACTTCCCAGAAATGTAATCAGGTCTGCAGGGGACACACTCCACCCACCTGAGAAACCCTTTAGTAACCCTTTAGTTGTCAGTCACTAAGCCTCTGGGAGATCATCCAGTCCTACCACCTTATTCTACAAATGAGGTAACTGAGAGGAGGAAGGCCCTGTCACCCAAGATGACACTGCTGGCAGGTGGCAGAGGAAGGACAACTCCTGACTTCCTAATCCAGTGCTGCTCCTTTTCCCTACACCAGTCACTGTCTAAATATGGACTCCAAGCTAATGATACTGTGAAAGCAGCTGAAAGAGACGACTCCCAGGGCAGTGAATCTGTTCTTTATGGCACTATACCGGTAACACATGCAGTGACAAATCTGTCCCAACCTATAAAATGTCGAACACCAAGAATGAACATCAGTGTAAACGGGGGTCTTCCGGTGGTATGATGTGCCAGTGAAGGCCCATTGCTTATAGTCAGTGGACACTTCTCCCAGAGAGGGAGACACTAGGAGACTGTATGTGCTGGGGCCATGCCCATTTCACAGAGAGGTTAAGCAACTTATGTAAGATCACAAAGCAAGTGACTGTCCAAGCCAGGACCTCCATTGTCCATGCAGTGACCTCCAGCAGTCTCCTTGCTGTCACCCCCAACTGCCTCCCAGTGATGACCCAGTGATGACTCAGTCCCCTCCGCCACCAGGCAGTCTGTATTCCAAGTCATCTTTTTCCTTCACAGGCATGAAATACTGTGACTTTGTTATCCCAACAGTATGTACTCTGTGACATTCCATAGAGAAGCAACTAACCTGTACTTTTTTTTCTCACTTTTAACAGTAACAATTTTGAAAGTTAAGAATGTTCTGGCTCCTGGAGTCCCACTTTTGTCTACAGGCATTCCATTTACACAGCTTAGAGTCTAAAGTAAATAGACTCAAAAGGCCTCTTTCCTTAACCACTACAGCAGCTGTTCTTTTTCTTTATTTTTTTTTTTTTTGACTTTTAATTTGCTCTGTACTTTTGGATAGTCTCATTAACAGGCTGGGTCAATGCAGGCTGGGCTAAAACATAATTAGTTTAACCAGGCAAGCAATCAAACCAGAAAGCAAAAGCAGCCTGATCCTCACTTCCACATACAGACTAAATACAGAGGCTTTCGGTTCTCTCACCCTAAGGACACAGGCACAACATACAAAGGTCCATTCTGCTGCTTCATTCCCAGGTTCTCCAAGACAGAAATTCTGCTCACTGAACTTTACAGCAACTTCAGAGCTAGACACAATGCCCTGACAGCACTGTACAGGGCCCAGTGATATGACATGGCTTCTGCAAGTTTGCTGTCAAAGCTGAGCAGTTACATTTTTTTGGCAGATCATATAGCTGAGGATGTCAGCCCAGAACAAACACGGCAGTGTGACTTCCCCAGGCACCGTTCCTCTTTACAATGGAGTGAGTGATATATCAAGATCCTCTCAAACTAAATAAAGCAGCACATTTAAAAAAAAAAGTAAAGTTACCTACACAGTCTCTCTGTGAGATGGTTCATTCCAATCCCCTGTTTACAGTCTTAGTATTTTCAGTAGGCAGCCACAGGACTGGGGCTGGCACCCACAGCCAGCTAAGCTTAGGCCTGAGGCGATCTTTATGAGCACCGATTCCAGTCTTGGCACCTCCACTATCCATCACACTCCCTGTGAACGGTCAGGGCAAGCAGCAGGGGATGGCTCCCATCCTTGGGCCCCTGTACCCACACGGGAGACCCAGAAGAATTTCCTGGATCCTGGCTTAACATTGGCCCAGCTCCAGTACTGTGGCCATTTGGGGAGTGAACCAGCAGATGGAAGATCTCTATGTCCAGGTAACTACGCCTTTCAAATTAAAAAATGAGCAATATTCAATTGATTGGGATGATACACTTTCGGCTGTACCTTCAGACCAGAAACTGTTTCCCCATGAAACTGATGAACTTATCTGCACAATAAGATGCTGGACTCTATGTTTTGTAGATGCTTGCAAGGAAAAAAAATCTCAACTGAATTTGATCTGTGGTAATGAAACAAGATGGAAGAATCCACCATGGGGGGGGGGGAGCAGGTTTTGGGGAGGGGAGGGGGGAATCCAAGTGCCTGTAAAACTGTGTCTCATGATGCAATGTAATAAAAATTAATTAATTAATTTAAAAAAATGAGCAATAGCTTAAAAAAAGAAAGGAAGCAAAAGTATCATGACATCTTAATTCAGGATGTATTTTCAATTAAAAAGCTTCCTACACCTTTGATAAACAAACACTATTCAAAACACACCTCTGGAGAAGCCCCTTCCATATAAAGCTTTGTCCGGGTCAAACAGGCCCTTTATTCTCCTTTGCGCCTCCAGGACCTCCACAGTGCCTCACCCCTCCTACCCCTCAGGGGTTTTCCTTATCTACCCTCTGCTTTAAGACACTGAAGGGCAGGACCAAACCTTAAGCAGAGAAATATCTAGGCCAAGTGCTACTGCCAAGTGCAGCCCAACCCAGGGGTAACTACTAGATACAACCAGATACAACCGCAGCACTCCACACCCTCAGCCTTGGCCTTAGCTGTCACCGCTCAGTCTGCCTACGTAAGCCAGCTAGAGAAAACAGAGGAAGACAACCTGGGCTTGACTCTGATAAAGCCACCATTTCCAGGAAATCCATCTCCTTAACTGCAACCAAGGATAATAAAATTTAAGCCTCACAAAAGTGGTAGGATGAAGAAAATGAAGCCTTTTGTCATTGTAAAGCAATATTCTGCTATTATGTCATAATACACAAATATGCTGTTTTACATCATTTCAAACACAATAGGTAACAATGTCTAGTCATTCTGATCAGCGAAGCTTTGTATGGGCAGAGTGAGAGCTCTGGATGAGAGCACCTTAAACATCACCACGAAAGCTGCTCTGCAACAAGGGAGAAACAGTGCGGGAAGCCTGGAGAGGAGAGAGGCTGTTCTTTGCTTTCAAAGTCTTTGAGGAACTCTTACCTTTAGATATCCTCCAGCAGAGACAAGCATTTTGCTATCTGGAGAAAAGCAAATGTCGGTCACCCAGCCTCCATGGGTGGCAGCGCCCTCTTCTCCTGGAATGGGTGCACACAGGTGAAGCAGCTCTCCACTGGAGACATTCCATATCTACATCAACACGACACAGCACATCATTAGCCAGGGAGTCGGTTCTGTGGCACTGCATGTTAGACCTCGTTCAGCAGTGCCAGCATCTGGTGCAGGCGCCAGTTCAAGTCTCAGATGCTCTACTTCTAATGGCCTGGGAAAGCAGTGTAGGATGGCCCAAGTGCTAGGGCCTCCAGAAAAAGCTCCTAGCTCCTGGCTCCTGGCTCCAAACCAGCCCAGCTCCAGCCTCTGTGGTCATCTGGGGGAATGAACCATGGGGGAAGATCTCTGTCTCTCTTGCCCTCTTTCTCTCCATCTTTCTGTCTCCCTCTCTTTCTCTCTCTGTTGTAATTCTGCTTTTCAAATAAAAATAAATCTTAAAAAAAAAAAGGAGTATTAGCCAGAGGCCTCTCTAGTATGAACTAGATCAACATGCCTTCTGGAAATATTTAGCCTTCTTAAAAATAAAGGGGTGGGCCATCACTGTGGCCTGGGACTCTGACATCCCATGACCATCCCACCGTTCCCTGCTAATGAAAGCAGTGGAAGATGGTTCAGAGGCTTGGCCCCTGCACCCAAGTGAAGGGCTCTGATGAAGCTCCTGGCTCCTAGCTCTGGCCCCAGCCACTGCAGCCATTTAGAAAGTGAAAACAGTGAATGCAACATTTTTCTCTAACTCTGCTTTCAAATAAATAAGTCTTTAAAACAAAAAGAAGGGCCCAGGAGCATGGCCTAGCAGCTAAAGTCCTCACCTTGAACACGTCGGGATCCCATATGGGCGCCGGTTCTAATCCTGGCAGCCCCGCTTCCCATCCAGCTCCCTGCTTGTGGCCTGGGAAAGCAGTCGAGGATGGCCCAAAGCCTTGGGACCCTGCACCCATGTGGGATACCCAGAAGAAGTTCCTGATTTCTGGCTTGGGATCGGCATAGCATCGGCTGTTGCGCTCACTCAGGGAGTGAATCAACGGACAGAAGATCTTCCTCTCTGTCTCTCCTCCTCTTTGTATATCTGACTTTCCAACAAATAAATAAATATTTTTAAAAAATAAACAAAAAGAAAACTTAATGGAAAAACTCATAGACTTCAATTAGACAACTAGCCAATACAACAACTTTCCTGCATTTTATATAATCAGATAGAAAAAAAAGTTTTAAATGTACCAAAGAAAATTTCTTAATTAACACCCAATATTTTATAAGTGAAAACTGTTTTCTGTTTCTGAAAAATGAAGCACCGCCTCACAGCCAGGAGGAATCCTTTTAGGCGAGCGCCAGCCACTGGGTGGAGACAGCACTGGGGCGGAGGGCGCAGCAAGGCTGGCGATCCAGGCCTCGAGCAGGCTGCCCTGGAGAAGCTACCTGCTAAAGCTCTGATTCCTGCAAACTGCATTCTCCCCCACTCTCCGCATCATATGCCTCTTCCTTCAGTTTTAAATCTCCCTTTGTTTAAGGAAAAACAAAAACAAAAACAAAAACAAAAAAACCGGGCTCATATACACTGGATAACAAAGCCACCCCCCAGTGGCCAGCCTCGATCCCCTCAACCAACTGTCCAGTTCATCTAATGCCACAAGTCCCACTGATGCCTCTCCCTTGATTGCTGAGCTTTCAAACACAATACTGTCCATATTGCACAGTGTTTCCACACAAACACAACAGTATTCCACGCACAACAGGGTAACAAAAGTGGGCCTATTGTGTGGATGCTACCCCAACAAAGCCCTTCGGTGCCCACCCAGTAGTGCACACCTGAGGGCCTGTACTGTCTAAATAACAAAGGCCCAAAGAGGACTGCAAAAAAAATAAATCACACCATAACAACTGACTGATGAATATAGCACAAGAGAGATTTTCTTCTTTCAATTCTGAAAACAAAATTTATAATTCATTTAAAACCTAAACAATCATTTACAAATTATTTTCTTCAAATTCTGCCACTAAAAACAACCTTTGGTTGAATTCCAAGAATTAAGATGAATAGTTCTTAAACAGCAGACAATTCAACTACAAATGACTGGGGCATCTGCCTCACACATGTGTGGGAAGTGCCCCCTCTACCGGGAAATTTCTTGGGCAGTCAGGTGTGGCTGGGGACGCGACGTGCACGGGAACACAGGCACACGTCATCCAGCCACACGCCGGGGCCTCCCAGTCCCACCAACAAGGGTCCCCAGGGAGGTGAGGGCAGTGCCATGCTCTCACGTCCAGCAACTCACCCTGATTTCCCCCTTGTCATCTCCTGTCGCCAGCAGGGAGCTGTCCGCGGAAAAGGCAGAGCAGCGCACGCAGTCACTGTGGCCCCTCAATTCCTGAAGAGGGGTAAGGAGTTCAAAACTCCAAATCTGGAAGGCAATCAGGGTTGCTTGTGGGTAGAAAATCTCCTCAAACGAAGCCTCTAAGCCCTGCCTTCACTGTTACTTAGTGCTGAAATCAGCCACACGGAAGTTCTGGCTGTCAGTATAGAAACTTCCACAAATGTCCAAATTCCAACTGGTAACCTTGTTAATTTTTCTGATTTTCTCATTAATTACTCAAGTTAAATTTGGATCAATAACCAAAGCCACAGCTTTCTCATCTTTAGTTAGAGAAGGAAGAACACAGAACCAGTTAACAGAATCTGTGGAGAGAAGACATGACTGTGACCCTGGCTCGTCTACACCATTCCTGGTAACCCAAGACAATCCACGGGCTTTTCTAGCTTTGGTTTTTACATCTGTAAAACAGGAACATTACTACCTGTGGCATGAAGACTGAATCAGATGGAACAAATGAAATCCCTCGTGTAACACTGAGCACATGGCAAGTGCCCTTAAAGGCTATACAGTCAAATGCCGTCCATTTCCTTCCGATCCCCTCTCACACTCTTGTCATCACAATCTAACACCACACACTGAAAAATACTATGTCCCAAATACTGTCACCTAAAGACTAGTGGCACACAGACAAACCAGACACAGCACCTCTTCTTCAAAACAAAATCTACGGGCCAGTGTGATGGCTCAATTGGCTAATCCTCCACCTGCAAGCAGCAGTATCCCATATGGGTGCCACTTCGTGCCACAGCTGCTCCGCTTCCCATCCAGCTCCCTGCTTGTGGCCTGGGAAAGCCGTTGAGGACGACCCAAAACCCTGGGACCCTGCACCCACATGGAAGACCTGGAAGAGGCTCCTAGCTCCTGGCTTCAGATCAGCTCAGCTCCAACTATGACAGCCATTTTGTAAGTGAACCAGCAGATGGAAGATCTTTCTCTCTGTCTCTCCTCTCCATAAATGTGATCTGCCTTTCCAATAAAAATAAACAAACCTTTTCTTAAAATAAATAAATAGAAGTTTAAGAGCTGACACTGCAACACAGCAAGTCACCAGCTGCGGTGCTGGCGTTTCCTGTGGACAATGGCTGGAGTCTCAGCGCTCGCACTTCCGATCCAGCTTTGTGCTACTGGGAGCACAGTGGAGCTCTCACACGCTCACACACTCACAGGCTCACAGGCTCACAGGCTCACAGGCTCACACGTTCACACGCTCACAGGCTCACACGTTCACATGCTCACACACTCGCAGGCTCACACACTCACAGGCTCACACGCTCACAGGCTCACAGGCTCACACGCTCACAGGCTCACACGCTCGCACGCTCACAGGCTCACACGTTCACACGCTCACAGGCTCACTCGTTCACATGCTCACACATTCACAGGCTCACAGGCTCACAGGCTCACACGCTCACAGGCTCACACGTTCACATGCTCACACACTCACACGCTCACAGGCTCACAGGCTCACACGCTCACAGGCTCAGACGTTCACACACTCACAGGCTCACAGTCTCACAGGCTCACAGGATCACACGCTCACAGGCTCACACACTCACACGCTCACAGGCTCAGATGTTCACACACTCACAGGCTCACAGTCTCACAGTCTCACAGGCTCACAGGCTCACACGCTCACACGCTCACACACGCACACGCTCGCAGGCTCACACACTCGCAGGCTCACACGCTCACAGGCTCACACGCTCACAGGCTCACAGGCTCACACACTCACAGGCTCAGACGTTCACACGCTCACATGCTCACACGCGGAAGACTCCTAAGAAGAGCCCGACTCCTGGCTGTGGGCTCGCCCAGACTGGGCGACTGAGGCCACCTGGGGAGCAAATCAATGGAAGGACAAGTCTCTCTCTACCTTTCTCTATAATTCTGTGTCTCAAGTAAAATAAATAAATCTTTTTTAAATGAACAAAAATCAACCAGAATATATACTTTCAGCAGAAAGAAAGTTCAAGAAGAGCCAGTGAATAACCGTATGAAGTTAAGTGTTCTAGCAGACATGAATAAAATGTAACCAGAACATTGAAGGTAGAGCAGCTGTAACTCTATAATGAAGCCAGCAAAGGCTTCATTCAAAATCTGGGTGTAGAATGATGAGTTATGAAGCTTCAGGGTTAAAAGGGAGTATGAGGTCGTATCTAAACACAGTTACAACACCCACAAAACCACGGAGGCAGAAACAGCTGGCGGAGAGGAAGCAACACAGCAGCAAAGAGATGGTGATGATTAAGGAGCCAACCGAAAAATGCCCAGGGGACGGGCTGCAGCAGGGGTCAGGCAGCAGCACAGGACAGGCTGAAGGAGGCGCAGGCCGGGGCGGACTGAGGACCGTGCTGCAGTGAAGGAGAGTGACGTCTCAGCGTCTCTAACACACTGAAGGAACAGTGTCCCCCACAACTCCAGAGTCTGCGCGGGAACCTGAACAGACAGTGGTCTCAGTAACAAAGGTGGAGAAAAGGAAGGCAATGGGGCACTCAACGTTCTCAGCACGGCCGAACAATCGCAGGAATGTGATATTCATAAAAATCCACTCTGGATGTTTAATATAAAATTTCTTCCAATGATTTTAATTGCCTATGATACACAATACAGACTCCATTTGGAGAACTCAGAAGTCTTCAATGTCATCCATTTAATCTATCTGAAACAACTAAAAGCCACTGAGAGTCCATGATGACTCAACGGACTAATCCTCTACCTGCAAGCACCAGCATTCCATGTGAGCACCAGTTCGTGCCCTGGTTGCTCCACTTCCAATTCAGCTCCCTGCTTACACTCTGGGAAAGCAGAGGAGGGTGGCCCAATGCCTTGGGACCCTGCACCTGTGTGGGAGACCCTGAAGAAGTTCCTGGTTCCAGGCTTCAGATCGGCTCAGCCATTTGGGGAGTGAACCAGTGGATGAAGATCTCTCTCTGACACCCCTTCTCTCTGCAAATATGCCTTTCCAATAAAATTAAATAATTTTTTAAAGATTTTTTTTTAATTGGAAAGTCAGATATACAGAGAAGAGGAGAAACAGAAAGACCCTCCATCAACTGATTCACTCCCCAAGCAGCTGCAACAGCCAAAGCTGAGCAGATTTGAAGCCAGGATCCAGGATCTTCTTCTGGGTCTCCCACACAGGTGCAGGGTCCCAAGGCCTTGGACTGTCCTCAACTGCCTTCCTAGGCCAGAAGCAGGGAGCTGAATGGGAAGCGGAGCTGTCAGGATTAGAACTGGTACCCATATGGGATCCTGGGGCATGCAAGGGAAGGACTTCAGCCACTAGGCTACCTCACCAGACCCAAAAATAATTAATCTTTAAAAAAGAATGCCAATGAGCATCTTCCAAACACAAAACAAGACACAGACAAGTATGAATTATTACTATCCTGTTTTATATATCATTTGAACTGATACAAGTAACATTAAATTTTATGCAGACATTTAAGACTGACCTACCTTTGCAGTCTTGTCAGCCGAGGTAGAAGAAAACTTGGCAGTATCGGAAGAAACAGCACAAGAGAGCACTGTAGCCTGGTGGCAGACAAAGTCTTTCTCTATTTTTCCAGTAATAATATTCCATACCTTTAAAAAATGTTAAAATGTTAAAATTTCCATTTCACAGAAAGAACATAAAGAGTTATCAGACACATCTGTAAAAGAACTCCAGCACACTGACCATTCTGATGTCTTCAAGCACCTTTTCGTATAAATGCTGACTAACACGACAGAGGTGATCACAGCAGAAAACAGGCTTTACCTCTAGTTAATTACTAACATTCATGTCCTTTTGGTTGCCACAACATAATCACTGCAGGATCAGAACACTTTTCAAATACTTTTTAACAAGACGAATGCTTCACATTACCTTAACTGTTCCATCAAACGACCAAGAAAGCAGTCTCGACTTTCTCAGGAGCCTGAAGTCTGTCACGGCTTCCTGATGGGCTTGTAGGAAGACATACTCCTCCGACTGCCGATTCCACACCTGAACACAGAAATGGGCCTGCTAGCACCTTCCCAACAACACTCCAGCGGCAGCTCAGCGAGTGCGCACTCACCTGAGGTCTCTTACCCACGCTCATCGCAAGAAAACAACAAAGAGGAACAAGGAAGAAAATGTATCCACAATTACAAAGAGGAAAGCTGGAGTTAATTAAGAGGCAAAATATTTTCCAGCTAAACAAATTTCTTCTTTTTTTTTTTTTGGTTGCTTGGAGAACAGTTAATTACCAGGACATACAGGAAAGCAACAATATGCCAGTGAGCTCACCATCTGATTAAATTTTCCAGAGAAAATTATCCCAATTACATGTCACAGATTTCTGAACCTATAAGCTGGTTAGGCCTGCAGATTCTGGCTCCGAGAAAGGCAACCCTATTGCCTGGAAAGGTCAGTTGACCAAAGCAATTTAAAACCAGGTGACGACATTTCTAAGCTCCTAAGATCTGTGCTACTCCACTCTAACGCAGTCCTCAAAATGACAGGTGCCAGAGCCATGCTGTTGCACATTAAGCTTTCACCTTAGGTGCTGGCATCCCCAGGGGCACCAGTTCCTATTCTGGCTGTTCACTTCTGATTCCACTCCTCACTGCTGGCCTGGGAAAGCGGCAGAGGATAGACCCAATCCTTGGGCCCCTGCATCTACATGGGAGGCCCGGAGGAAGCTCTAGGCTCCTGCCTTTGGATCAGCTCAGCTCTGCACATTGTGACCATTTGGGGAATGAACCGGTGGATAGACTAACCTCTCTGTTAAAGAATTTCTTATAACCAGGATCTATAAAAAACAAAAAGAAAGAAAAAGCCTAAGAAACTCAACAACAAAATAATCCAGTTAAGAATTAGAAAAGGACATGGACAGCCATTTTTCAAAGGTTGAAATTCAAATGGTCAACAGACATGAAAAACTGCTCGGGCTCACTAACCATCGGGGACATGCAAATAAAAACCTCAATGAGGTCTCACCTCATCCCACTTAGATGACTCTCACAGAGAAGTCAGAAAACAATGAACGCTGGGGAGGATATGGGGAGGGAGTACCCTAATCCACCGCAGGTGGGAATGTAAGTGTTACAACTGTTACTGACAACAGTATGGAGACTCCTCAGACACAAGAAAACAGATCTACCAACGAATGACCCAGCCGTCTCACGCCTGGGAATTTACCCAAATGAAATGAAGTCAGCATATGAGAGTTTTGTGTGCCCTCATGCTTATTGTAGTTCAATTCTCAATAGCTAAGATTTGGAATCAACCCAGATGCAACTGATGACTGGATAAAGAAAATGTGACATATACACACTATGAGCTGCTTGGCCAAAAAAAAAAAGAAATCTTTGTCTTTTCCAACTAAATGGATCCAACTCCAAACCACTATGCTTGGGGAAATAAGCCAGTGCCCCAAAGACCAGCACCATGTTTCCCAAGGTCCGCGATAGCTAACACACAGACGACAAGAAAATGTAACCCATGTGGATGAGACAGGCATCCTGGGAAGTGGCTGTGCATGGACAGCCTCTGTCTGCACTCGTGAGAAACAACAGGCCGTTTTTTTCCTACTTGTTATGTGTTGCTATCCAATGGTTTGTGAAGCCTGTGATCGTAAAGTGAAGTGAAAATATATCAGTGTAAAATTAGGGGGGGAAAAACAGGAACAAAGAAGGAAGCGGGAAGGTGGCAAATGCAGGCAGGAGGGAAAGCAGGATGGGGAGAAGTACCGCCACACTCCTAAATCTGTATTGTGAAACATATAAATAACTAAAACAAATTCAGTTACTTCATCAACACATCTGTAATTAGATTTCCTAATTCTTGACTTTAACTTATTTAACAAATATTTAGCATCAATATGTGACAAACATACATCAAACAAAAATCTAGCATAAGAAATCCTAAATCTAGCAGAGAATGATGTCCATTACAAAAATATATCCTATAAGAAGATATTAACAACTGTGGGGCTGGCACTGTGGCTCAACAGGCTAATCCTTCTCCAACACCAGCATCTAACAGGGATGCCAATTAGTGCCTCAGCCACGCCACTTGTATTTTTTAAAGATTTATTTTTATTTTTACTGGAAAGCCAGATATACAGAGAGGAGGAGAGACAGAGAGGAAGATCTTCCATCCGATGATTCATTTCCCATGGGGCTATAATGGTCAGAGCTACACCAAACCGAAGCCAGGAATCAGGAGCCTCTTCCAGGTCTCCCACGTGGGTGCAGGGTCCCAAGGCTTTGGGCCATCCTACACTGCTTTCCCAGGTCACAAGCAGGGAGCTGGATGGGAAGCAGGGCTGCTGGGACACCACTGCCCATAGGGATCTCGGCATGTGCAAGGCAAGGACCACCACGCTGGGACAAGGATGCTCCACTTGTAATTCAGCTCCCTGCCTATGGCCTGGGAAAGTGCTCCTGGCTCCTGACTTTAGATCAACTCAGCTCTGGCCATTGTTGTCAAATGAGAGTGAAACAGCAGATGGCAAATCTCTGTCTCTCCTCTTTGTAAAACTCTGTCTTTCCAAGAAATATAAATACATCCTTTTAAAGAAAATATTAACAATAAAGAAACAATTTGGGAGAACTCGAAAAAGTAATTCCATAGGGAAGATTTGATGGAGACAGTGCATTGAAAGTGCTTGTGGAATGGGTTAAAAGTATGAATCATTAACAAGAAGGGCAACTGAACAAAGTAAATGAACTCTGGTGTTAAAAGAACAGGAATGAGGGCCTGGCATGCTAGCCTAAAGCCTAAAGTCCTCGCCTTGCACATGCCAGGATCCCATATGAGCTCCAGTTCTAATCCCAGCAGCTCCACTTCCCATCCAGCTCTCTGCCTGTGGCCTGGGAAAGCAGTCCAGGATGGCCCAAAGCCTTGGGACCCTGCACTCACATGGGAGACCCGGAAGAGGCTCCTGGCTCCTGGCTCCTGGCTCTAGGTCAGCTGAGTTCCAGCTGTTGCAGTCACTTGGGGAGTGAATCAACGGAGGGAAGATCTTCCTCTCTGTATATCTGACTTTCCAAAAAAAAACAGGAATGAGAAAAATGGGAAAGGACCACAGGGACCCAGCTCAGGGTTCAACCTGACTTGAAAACAGGATATGCAGAAGGAATGATAGAGCAAAAAGGCTGGGATGGTATGTAGAGAAACATCCCCAAAAGCCCAAAGACAGGCTCAGAAAGCATCAAAAGATACAGAAAAGTTGGCCCCCACCACAGATATGCACATGAGTGATATTCTGGGTCTAGCTTTTGATTTGCAAAGATTGAACAGAACTGTCTGTAAGTCTTTTCCCATCAGGGCTGAAGCAAAACTGTACTAGAAATGACATCTCTTACTGCCCTCTCTTCATTCTTTAAGCAACACCTTCCGCAGCCACCCTATCACAGCCAGGTTCTAGGATCTCTCTTCATCTGAGTGTTCACTCACAGAAGCAGGACATGAGAAGTATAGCACCTTATATGCAAGAAAGGGTTAGGAATTAGAGGAATTCTGAAGAGAATGTATTAGAATTTCAGTATTTTAAAAGCCTAACAAGATATGCTGGGGGACAGAAGAAGGCACAGGGGCTTTTCTGGCTCCTCCAATCACACCAAAAACGTTTCTGTGTGTCTAACATAACACACTAGACAATTTCCCCGAGGAACGTTCTGGCTCCCCCTCCCGCTTCCCAGGCCTTAGTGGGCTGTAAATCAGTGCCTACCTCTGATAGCTCTTCCAGGCTGATACACATTTCCTGTCTAATCTGTGCCCAACTTAGTGTTCACACTTTTAAAAAGAAAAAAAAAAAAAGATCTACTTTTATTTGAAAGGCAAAGTCACAGAGAGAAGCAGAGACAGAAAGAAATTCTCTGTACAGTGGTCCACTCCACAACTGGCCACAACAGCTAGAGCTGAGCCCATCTGAAGCTAGGAGCTTTTCCCCAGCCTCCCACAGGAGTGCAGGGTTCCAGGGCCTGCGCCATCTTCCACTGCTCCCCGAGCCCATCAGCAGGAGGCTGGATCAGAAGTGAAGCAGCCGTAGCACAAACCAGCGCGCAAGTGGGATGCCAGCACCAAAGGCGAAGGTTGAATGTGCTGCACCGCAGGGCCAGCCCCACGGTGTTCACTCTTACTGCTGCACTGCACGTCAAAAAGACAGCCCTCCCGAGCAAATGACAACTAGTCAAGGATATGAAGAATAGCCTTCACAGTTTTTGTTACGGAAGCTCTCTGACAAGGCACCAAGAGTAATACATTTATTGTGTGGACTCAGGCATACTGTGCTAATTAATTACTTTTAGATAGTAGTTAAACTTTCACCTGCATTCAGCAACTGTATCAAGGCTGAGTCTGAAGATACCTCTACCATTTTTTAAACATGGATTTTTGAAATTTTTTCTATAGAGTATACATATTTTTTTAGTTATGCAATAAAATTTACATTTAATGTTAAAGAGAGATCTTATACTAGTAAGGACAAATAAAGTCATATATAGTGGCTCAGCGGGAATGCCACTATATATGCGCTTTATTTACATAAAGGGAAAGAATCAAAAACTAAGGGAATTCTCAGTTTTCATAAGTCTATAATTATAATTTTGGCAACAGCTTCAGTTCAACAAAGGTTTATTGAACTCCTACCACATTCCAGATACGGGGGATACAAATGTGAGTGTTTCAAGCTTTCATTTAGTCATTTATTAAAAACATCAAAGGGGCTGGCGTTAAGAGTAAAGCCACTGAATGTGGTGCTGGCATCCCATACAGGCGATGGTTCATGCACTTAGCTGCTCCACTTCCGCTCCAGCTCCCCTAGTGACCTGTGGATAGCACCAGAGGATGGTGCAAGTGCCCCGCCCCCTGCCACCTGTGTGGGAGAGCAGCAGGAAGTGCCTGGCTTCAGTTCACTAGGAGGGCTGGCTATCCAGGGAGCACACCAGCAGATGGAGGATCCCGCGGTATCTGCCTCTTTCTCTAACTCTTACCTCCAAATAAATACATAGCTT